GTTGTTAATGACTGCAATTAAATATATAAATAGGTGGCAGTTAGTCGATTAATTAATTGATTAGTTAATGGATGGAAGTAGTAATGTAACAACTAGTAGATAAATGATTGAATATAAAATTTAATAAATAAATATATAATGAATTGTGCAAATGTATGAATAACGAATAATTAGAGTAATAGCTAATGAATGATGTATGAGTAAATGATGAAATACATGAACAAAATTGTTAATTAATTAAAAACATACAATAAATTGATATAAATAAAAACAAAAAAGAGAAAAAAAAACATGAATAAATAAATTATTAATTCAATAATGTTATTGTAGTGATTAGTTTAAAAAAGGGCAATAATTAATAATCAAATAAATCATTAATTCAATTAATGTCAATGTAATGATTAGTTTAAAAAGAGCGAAAATAATTAATAATCTATAATATCATAAATATTCACAACAATTAATTTAATTTAGTTAATTCATTAATCAATCATACATACATATCATTTTATCACCTAATTGAGCACCACATCACTTTAACATTTGGTTGATTACCAATATTTATCAGAAATGATATTTAAAAATAAAAAGAAAATCGAATTTACTTACATGAAAGAATTGCAATCCAAGGAAAAATATTCCGGTTGCAATGCGTACCAAATTCCACTGTAAATAATAGTAATTAAAATAAATGTTAATTAAAATATTAAAATTTATTGTCTTCTTTCAAGAAATGGAAAAAATATTTGCATAGGAAAATTAGAAAATCAAAAAAAAGAAAAAGAAAAGATTAAATAAAATCAATCAATTAAAATTAAAAGTTATATATATATGTCACACCAAAAGTTTGCTATAATAATACATTTTAAGAATTATGAATTAAAATAATGAAGCAAAAAATCAGAAAATTAATCGATATTTTATAAGTGCAAGAAATTAATCAAGAATTGATTATCCCTCAAATTACTCTTTTTGAAATCAAATTGAGGCGATTAATTTTGAAGCTATGATCGTGTCAATTTGATGTCACCATCCTCAAATTCATTTATTATTAATGATAAAAGATGGTGTATTATGAATTAGTGGAAAATAGAACTTAATGAAAAGACTACAAAAACTTACATGAGCATAGAAGAAGATGAAAAATACAGTAATTAATCCTCTGATAATATCAAGTATCATTAAAAAAATCCATGGTACAAGCAGCCATTCCACATATGATGCTAAACCAATTAGCAATAATATACTGGCAATTATAATTAGTACATATAATATGATATCAATTACAAGTGTTGACCTTCTCCCTGAAATAATAATTAATTATTTAAATCAATATTATTTAATCAAAATAATTTAAATTTTAGGTCAATTTTTTTCACATTTCGAAAATTAAAATTATAGCTAATTATTAGCAAAATTTTTAATAATATTTAC